GAAAGAAAGAAAGAAATAATTTATTTGATAGTCTCCCTTAACTCCTTGCTGAAAGACAGACATTATCTCATTTCTATATAATAAAGGCGACCGATGGACTCCTCGCTTTGAAGCAGCAAAGTCTCAGAGAGAAAAGGAAATACAAAGACTTTTGTGTATAGATTTAGATAGAATTATACGCGTATACAAATAAAATATATGTACATTTATATGCATATATGTATCATATAAAAATATATGTGTACATATATATACATATATATATGTATATGCAACGTATAGAAATATGTGTATACATATATACACATATATATAGGAATATAATATATATATATATGTATAAGTGCAGGCAACCCCCTTCTTTGATGATGATTGTTTAAGTATGAGGGGGTCGCCGATACAGCAGAAGTTTTTTGTTGTTCTGTAGGCGTACTTTCATCTGCAAAGTCTACTTGAAGGGAAGCAGTTTCTACAGACACTGATATTAGAAGAAGAGGCAATAAGAAGGAAGAAAAAGAAAGAAAGAAAGAAATAATTTATTTGATAGTCTCCCTTAACTCCTTGCTGAAAGACAGACATTATCTCATTTCTATATAATAAAGGCGACCGATGGACTCCTCGCTTTGAAGCAGCAAAGTCTCAGAGAGAAAAGGAAATACAAAGACTTTTGTGTATAGATTTAGATAGAATTATACGCGTATACAAATAAAATATATGTACATTTATATGCATATATGTATCATATAAAAATATATGTGTACATATATATACATATATATATGTATATGCAACGTATAGAAATATGTGTATACATATATACACATATATATAGGAATATAATATATATATATATGTATAAGTGCAGGCAACCCCCTTCTTTGATGATGATTGTTTAAGTATGAGGGGGTCGCCGATACAGCAGAAGTTTTTTGTTGTTCTGTAGGCGTACTTTCATCTGCAAAGTCTACTTGAAGGGAAGCAGTTTCTACAGACACTGATATTAGAAGAAGAGGCAATAAGAGGTGGATATGACTACGAAAGAACAGCAGTCTTACAGAGCACATTT